GAGGTGTCCGAAAGAGGCCTTGAAATTGCAAAAGACGATAGGGGAGGCTGCGAGTCGGCTCTCTTTGATCCACAGGCGTGTACACACCTTTACGCAGTTTCTAAAAACCGAAACCTCATTATTATCCTCGCGGGCTGAACATTCAGGGGGATGTATATATGTATGTATATAAGAATACCTGGTGCCTCGAAATTAAGCTTTCGATTTCACGCCCCTTGAATTAATGATTTCTCAAAAACCGCCCTTCGAATTTTACCTGATGGAAACAGAGCGCTGGCGATACCTGGATGACTATACGAAAACTCCTATTTCTTGACCGTTGGCGGTGCTCCTTTTAACGTGGAGTATCCAAGGATTTGTGAAACTAATTTACCCCAATCGTGTTTCGGGTATTCGGAGTGCGTAGCGCAATAGCGCAAGGGAAGAAAATTGTATGCTTAGACTTTTAGGTAATTGAATGTTCTTTAGGAATTTGGCAAATTGATTCAGGTTTCACACGTGTTAAGTCTAGTTGATAATGAAAATAATTGGCGTAAAGTATTGAAATAAAGGTAACTGATTAAATTTGTAATAAAAATTGTTAGACATATACAAAACCTAAGTAAAAAAATGTAGCACTACCCAACATAATTTATGCAGTATACCCCAGAGTTTCTTTATCTTCAAGTCGTAGTCTCCTGAGATACAAAATAGAATTTTCTCGCTCGTTGCTATCATTCCAAAACGACCCTACTATCCAATCAAAAATAATTTATCCTGCTTCGATAAACGTTTCATCTAACTCCCCATTTTTTGGAAACTTCAAGAGAATTTCTAGACTGCCGCACAGTTTTATGATCCCATTCAAGATACTTTTCCTCGGCTCAATATCAGCCAATAATCCACGATGATTTTACGAAGGTACGAAGGACAACTTCCGAAGAGGATTACAGCTACTAAAAAGGTCGGTGGCAGAGGCCCGTCGAAAAAAAAGAATATAAGTACAGGCGTCGTAAAAACGTGGAAAAAGAATTTGCGTTCCTGGCAAGCTTTTTAGGCCTGTAAAGCAATTAGCGAACTAATAAGTGACACGCATCGATTGATACCGCGCTACCTGAGCCCACTAGCGCTGCAGGGGTACTTGGAGATCCCAGTGCACCATAAACGAAGGTACCGTAAACAGGAGAACGGACTGAGGGTAGAATTCGGGTCGGGAAACTGTAAAACAGCCCGATGGTCCACGTTATATTCCCGTCCTGTCCATTTTGTCTATTTTTTTTTCTTCTCCTTCGCCACTTCTTCTTAGGTTCTTTTTTTTTTTAAATTACCGCTTCATTGAACGTTATGCCGCCGCTGCGAACCCCTCGACCTGAATTAGAAAGGCCAGAGGAAAATGAGAGGGAGCGAGAGAGTGAAAGAAAAAAAAAACAACCTCTCTTTTGGCGAAAATAGCAGGCCAGTAAAGTTCACCACGGGCTCTTAGGAACTTCTTCCGTGCGAAAAAGTGGGGAGAACAATCGACGGCGAATGCGTCTAGAGTTTCCGCAAGTGGGCGAGCAATTCAAAAAAGAAAACACCGTGGAAGACGGGGGAGGGGGGCATTTCTATCGAGCGTAACAAAAAATCCTATTTCACGACGAAATTGTTCCACAAAAAAAATGTAGAAACGTTACAGGATCCTGTGCACTTGATGTCGAAGAGGACAAGGAAACTCGTGGTTAAAAAAATGTCGAGGTTCCTAGGATACAACTACTCGATAATTTAATTGTTTTTTTTACATGTCATACCTGTAAGGTAAAGTGTCGAACTTTCAGAAAATATAAAGGCTGATTTGATTTACACGTTGCTGGAAAACGTTACACGGTATTGAAAAAACTCATGCACTCGATGTCAACCAATCTCGAAAGTGTTCAAGCATCCTAAGGAACAGCTACTGCACCGTTTAATTTTTTTTAATACTTATTACGTATACACAGCGTAGGGATTTCAGAGGGCTTGAAGAGAGATTTGAGTCACACGTTGCTGGGAAAGCCTATCGAGGTTGGCCCGATCTTTGCGTCCCAACAAATCATCGATGGAAAATGATGTTTTGGCGCACCTGGCCCCTAGAGACCTCCGACGTATCGACGAGTGGTGGTTAAAACGTTCCCGGATAGAAATAAACTTTTCTTCTGCGTACACGCGCGCTCTATAGAATCAAAACCTCTAATTTGGCGCTTAATGGGAGGTCTTTATTATTCCTGGAGGGTGGCAATCCGTAAAGGAGCCGAAAGGAGCTGCTCCTGGGGGGGCGAAGCGATTTTCGCAGGGGGCGCGTGTTGAGAATCTCGTATGTCGCGTTTTTTTCTAAAAAAAATTGAAATTGCCATAACGGTAACAGCCTCGAAGAAGGTGCGTTTGAATCGCAGGGTTTCGCGTCGTTCGAATTTCACCATTCAGGAATTCTTTTGGAAACTTTGTGGAAAAGAAACGGTTCCCTCGCGTGGTGGAGTCGAGCAACGAGTGGCGCGGAAAATATGGGTCAGAGACCAGATGGAAGGCTGTTGAAAAATTTGGTGACACCTGCGAACACTTTACTTTTTTCAATCATTGATATTCACGGTGTATATATATATATATATTAGGTCGTTCCATAAGTCCACGTCACTTATTCTTCTGCAATTCAATATAATATATGAAACATACCCTTATGTGTTATAGTATATACTATAAAATTATACTATACAATTTCTATAGTTTTTTTTTTTATTTAATATTGGCTCAGTCTGCAGCACGAACTTGTGGGGTGATGGGATTTCTTCCTATGGTAATTGGGTGGGTTCAGTTCTTCGCGAAGAAATTTGTTAATGTATATTTTTAATTAAAAGTTGACACATGAGAGTATACTGAAGAAGACTCAAATCAACCCCTTCGACGTTATTGGTAAGTCACTTATTTAGTACTTGCATGATATTTTAAAGTAAGTGCTTCTATGGCATATAATATACACTCACACATGCATGTTTATTAAGCTCTGCGTGATGTTTCCTAATATATTTTACACTGAACATTTGAAACCAAAAATATTTAAGAGCACTGTAAATAAATCAAATTCATTCGCAAGTAATTAAAATTGTTTAATCATTTGATTCGGCCTACTTGTAACTTTTTTCCTCAATGAGCTGCAATCATAAATATTCCCGAGGAAAAGTATTTCCATCACAACAAATTCGATTGAAGATAAACGAGATTAAGAACCAAGAAAATAGACCCGAATTACCTACTTCATCTTACGATATGCAACACGTGTAACACGACAAAGGATTATATTAATTAAAGTGGACGTTGTTCGCGTGGTTTGTCTCAATCTTTTCAATTTTGACGTTGTTGTGACTTGTTGCACAGGGGACAAAAGCGTCGCGGACTGGTCGCTTCCAAACAGGTTCTCAGGAAAGCCGAGGGCGAGGGATAATACACCTTTGTCAAAGAGTGTGTTCACGCGTGCAAAGAGAGGTGTTCGGTCGGTCACTACCGACGCTGCTTGAGATGTCAGAAGCCGCAGGTGGCCGAATGGTAGCCTGCAATTCACGTATACAGCGTACAGACAGGTCGCTGGGTTTTGCGAGAGGGTCACGGGGTCAGGAGGCACCGACTTCCCGCTGCTCTACCGGGTGTCTTGACCAAAAATTCCACCGTAAACCTAATAATAATAGACGAAATCGAAAATCAGGGGGAAACGCGAACAAAATTGGGCGCGCCATGAAGTGGAAGCAATTAGAAATGAGGATAGTGGGACTGAAATCTTCTACTTTAGACTAAACTTACTCATTTTCGAATTCTATCAATACTTTGATTTAAATTCTAACGGAAATTCTACTCATAGATTAAATGAACTCCTTTAGAATTTTCATGACAATACCACCCCATCAAATATTTCTTCAATTTTGTATCTATTCCTTCTCTTAATCATTTTTTGGTCAGTGTGTTTTCGACCAAGTATTAATTCCTGAATTTAATTTTAACCCATCCACTGCCAACTACGAGATGTCTCGTAGTTCAAATTGATTGGAATTACTCAAGAGTGAGTTTATAGCTCTTTGAGTCACGAATTATTGCAAAATAGATCGTAAATTTTCTTTTTAAAACAATAAATTTAATATCACTTTTTATTATCAAGATAATAATTTAGATCACACATTTGCATTAAATCTTGGCGCTCAATAACACTTTAAATTCGCTTGAATGGGTTAAAATGAACTATATTAACCATAACTCAAATTTTGTGTCTGCATATATTCAAGACACAGTTCGATTTCCATTTGAAGAGTTCTCCCTCCAAAAAATCGAGAAACCACTGTACCGACTATTCCATTTTCTGTTTCCAAAGATGACCCTGAAAACGTTTAACAACAATAAACGACTTATTACGGGTGCACCGGACATTGTGAATTAATTAGAAGGTGAAAACCCTTCGTCGTATTTACATTAAGGAAACGTTCGCGTTGCTTTCCAGGGAACTATTTAATACACGGATGCGAGGCATAATTTTACGAGCGCAAATTGTCGGTCACGAAGCACCCAAAGAGGGATTAAACGGGGCAGAAATGATTTCACCTGTAACCGGGGGTTCACACTCCGGTGCACCTTTTTACTGAATCAACATATGACGATCCAGCGTTAAGGATCTATGACCGACCTCGAGGGAGCAAATGGTACACCATCACGCAGGGCACCTACGTATTTCCATACGCGAGGTTACCCCTTGCCCGAAGGTTCGTCCCGTTCAACAGGGAGAGAAAGGGGAGCCCAGTCACCTGCGATCGAAAGTCGGGTCATGCAAATACCTGCACGCGATGAATAAAAAAAGAACGAGGGTTCGGGGCGAAAGGGTGCACTTTATTCAGATTAGGGTCCCGTCTATGGTGTTTGAACACCCTTTCGTAACGCCACTCGAGCTCTCGATTTTCAGCAAGTGCCTTTACCCTCTGGCACGCGTGTCGTACATAAATACGGAGAGACCACTTTTTTTTTTATCCAACCCTTTATCCACCTGCAATCGAACGTCGTATTCAAATATGTGCTTTACCCATCCAAGAATCCGTTCGTTTCATTTTGTACAGGTTCCTCGAATTTAACGCGTGTAAGTGTAATTATTATTGACAGTAATGAGGGCTCTCTTTAGAATCTTAGTTGCATAGTCACACTGATAGCGAATAATAATATCTAGGAACATCCTGAAAATGTTGGCCTACTATATCATTGCGAAATTTAATCATTTATTGACTAGTTTGCGGAGGGACTCTTTGGTGCATTTCAGAATCTCTCTATTTGGCTGCACTCATTCTACGAGTTTTTATGACACCGTTACTAGAACCTGCCAATTTACCGTCAAAGGTACGTAGAAGTTAATGGATTCAACGTGAGATCATAAATCTGTGACAATTTTCGAACGAAATTTGTCCAAACAAAAATGATAATTACAGCAGATGCTTGGATTTTCGAAATAAACACATGTAAACATGACAATGCCTGGAATGACTAGGAACACCAATGAAAGGAAAAGGGATGAAAAGGGGTAGAAAGGGATACAGGGACCCTAGTAGAGCTAATAATAATACAAAAGGAAATAATTAATTAAACATATTACTTGGGAAGACAAACGATAAGGGATGAAAAGGGATACAAGCACCCTAACAGGGCTAATAATAATGTAAAAGGACCAAAATAATTAATTTAGAAACATATTTCTCAGGAAGACAATACCGACGAAGTGAATATTCTAAATCCTCTCTGTTTACGTGCTATCATAAAATCCAAAATCACGATTATCACGCAGACTCAGCGGTTAATAATACAATAAACAAAAGAATCGTGCAGAACGGCACCGTTGAAGCAAGAATTCGCGGAATAGCCGCTCACGCGTGCCCGTAAACCTTCTGCTGGAGCCCGACTCCCGGAATCAGAGCGCGTAGATATTATTCGCGCCTCTTTCGTGAATTCGCGTCGGTAGGGGCGTCATTAAAATCAATACCGGCTCGCTCTCCGCTCCATCTCCCTCGACTCTGCCCTCCCACCAGTCGCGACTCGTCCCGTTTTCGTCTTCATCCCTCGACGCTATTCATCCTCGTCTCCGGTATGTGTGTGCGTGTATGCGCGGGGGGTTGGTAGGTTCGCGAGGGGGCGAAGAAGGGATGCTCGCGTTTCCTAGTCCCGACGTGGGAGTCGCGCGACGACTGGTGGGGTCGTCGGGGAAGACGGGGGATGAAGTGAAACGCAAGAAAAAAAAAGGTGGCGGCACGAGGAAGACGGGTGCACCGAAGAGGGGTGGAAACGCGATAAGAGGAAGGGTGGTTCCCCCCCGTTCGCAAGGTTAGGTAGCCGGTACACGCGATAAGGAGTGGGGGGTGGCGTTCCCCATGGCCAATAAGAACCTCTTTAAAGCGCCCTTTTTGCGCGCGGAACTGCGCATGCCGGATTCAAATCTGCCCTGAACCGGGGTATCGAGTGGTGGTGGTAGTGGCGATGGTGGTGGTAGCGTGGGCGGTGGTGGTGGTGGTCGCTGGCTATATGGAAATATGATAGCGCGATAAAAAGAGGAAGAATGGCAGGGATGCTTGTGTACGAGAGGGAGAAAGTGCGGGCGGGGATACTGCGCGGATCCTACGACCAATAAAGGCCCAGTTTAAAGCGCCTCAATTTTTTTTTTTGCAACGGCACTGCGCATGCCGCATTCAAATGCTGGGGAGTGGTGGGCTAGTATGTGAATGCGTATGGAAATATGATAGGTGAGTCGCGTATTTGAAGAAATGGCGTCCGTGTGGATCGTGGGGGTAGAAATATTTAAAGGTTTCATACGCTGCGGGGGTTTGGGAAGAATGGCGTCCAAGATTCTTGGATAAAGGGTTTTGAAAAAGTGCATTATATTCGAGGTAATGCGAATGAAAATGAAAAATGAAGACAAACCGGACCAAGCAGTACATTTTTGTGGATAGAGAGATCGTTGGTTCTTTCTTCAAAATTCAACAATTTTGTTTATTGACATAATATCAATGAAAATTCTAAGGCTTCAGTTAGAAAACCCTATATTTTCTCGCTTCACTTTGATATACAGGATGTCCCATAACTGGTGATACAAGAGGGGGTGGTTCTACATGAAAAATTGAATCGAAAATGTGGAATAAAATTTGTTCATATGACCAAATATCTCCGGATCTGTTACCTTTAGATTTTTATTTGTGGGATCATGTTAAGTCGATTGCGTACAGCGATGACATGAGGAGCGTTGAACAATTTAAACAAAAAATTATTGTATCGTTGGAACAATTAAAATTTCACAACGACACATTAGAAAACGTTCGATGCAATTTAGTAGGGAGAGCACAGTTATGTTTGCAACAACGTGGATCACGTATAACACACGCAAAAGTACAGTAAAGGATTCGGTTAGGTGGTTCAACGCGAGAAGCTTCTTGCGGACACTTCTTTAACTAATTCCTGGTTGGCCATTACAGTCGTTTTCCTCTCATTGTTACGAACTACGTTTACAGTGTTTGAAAAAGTAAAGTACATTCTACTTTGATCATTTCGATCCACAAAGTGCGACTGTAGTGCTTTTGAGCCTAGAAACTTATGACAAGGTAAGCTTCTCCGAAAAGTAGTAATGTTTAATATTTATTCTTCATGCGAACGTGTACTTGTCACAATCTTTGGAACTTTATTTTATAGTGTCAACAAATGTCATATTTATAATTTGATCTAATATTTCGCTTTGATCTTGGATCAGTGATTTGTTTCGTGAAAACAGTTGAACATGATTAATGTAAATGTGAAATTCCTAAATTGTTTTTCTTTTTACACGTTCACGCCGGCGTGTACTACAGGTGGTTCACGCTCGCGTGTCTATCAGATTGTGTGTATTACCGCGCCGCCCCATGGCGAGAAAAACAAATAGCAACATTGGTGTAAATGTGTTAAGTCATATGTGAATATTTTTAAACTTTTTCACTATTCTAACTACGGGCATTACGTTTTTAGATTTCCATCAAAATGTCTTGTATACCGAGAATGTTATACGTTGGAATTCTTGAACTGATTAACCCATCAAGAAATCTTTGCTTCAAAACGACCAGACAGGTTTCGCTTCCTTTTCCTTTAATTTTATTTAAAATTAAGTATCGTTAGGAAACTTTAATTCACGTATTAATCATTCGTTTTACCATAACCTACACGTCATTAACACTAAATCTACCACGATTAAATGATCGTGTTCAAACATTTGCATATAGTTCTCATATACACTCTATAAATTATATTCAATTCTTTCTCGCATTATTCAATTCAGTACCACTTAAAATACGTTTGGAATTCATTTGTATATAGTTTTTATAATAAATCTATAAATTATGCACAATTGTTTCGCGCATTATTCAATTTTATACCACGTGAAACATGTTTGCATTCATTTGAAGTGTCTTTAAGGATTTTGTCCGGTACAGTAGAAATAGATACAAATAAAATCGGTAGGTTTAGTGTTAACTAGTACGCCTTAAAAAGCTCCGTTCTATATGAATCCACTCCTCAAATACTATAATTCCAAAAATCGTACAAACGCCTTCGCGAGTAATCAATCATGTCATCTGTATAGAAAATTTGAAAACACTCTTCGCGCTCCAAAAGTGCCCTCGGCACGATACGCGCTAATTGCCACGGTCGCGCCTCTTGCTTACACCAGTTTAAAGCGTTACCGCGCCGCTTATTGAGATTCATTCGGAGCCCTTAATCGTTGTCGCGACGTTGACAGAGGGGGCAACGGGGCACGGGATTGGTCGCTTTTCTCGCATATGCAAATGCAAACTCACCTTCTCTCCCTCGGTCGGTGGTTCGGTCGCAGCGGTTAGTAGCCGGTACACGCGAGGTAAAAAGGCGCGCTCGCGCTCGCGACCAAGAGAACTCGCCTTTCCTGGCCGGGCGGAGCCGCGCGCGATCCGCGTTCCTTCGCGATTGGAGGCTCCGTTCCCCACCGACGCTTTATCCCCCTCCAGCGGAAGCGTCCAGGCGTTCGTCCGCCGCTTTCCGTTCCGCTACCGTTTTCCTTGTCGATCCTTCGCGGTCGCGATAAGCTGCGCGTATAGTGCTATCTCAGTCGTTCCACAACGAACACCCCCACTTCGAGTTCTACGGTCCGCGTACGCCGTCCGCGTTCCCCGTGGCCGGTAGGCGGCCGACCGGGCGTACGTGGGCCCTCTAGTGTAGCTGCACACATGCACGCGACAGCATCTGACCACCGTACCAGCCGCCGCAGCCGTAGCTGCCACCGTCGTAGCTCGTCGCGGATGCTCGTGTGCATGCGATAACGATATTCGCATCGCTCTACTCCGTTTTTCGCACGTTTACACGATCACGATTTTCGCCCGCGGTTTGGCGACACGACCACGCTCCAGTGTAGACTTATGACGCGACGATACGGTCACCGCACGTGTCGTTCGGTGGTACCCCGTGTGATACGAGAGTGAGTGCGTACCGTGACAGTTCTCCATGGGGATGCCCCGACTTTGACAGTTCCGTCGTTCGAAACATGTTCGCGCGCGCCGTGACGGTGATCACGGAGACTGTTCGCGAGTTTACCGATGGGTGACGCTGCGTCGATGACATCCGTGAGAGAAGATCACTGACGGGGATTTTGAATACTCGCGGGACTGGGTGACGATCGTGGCTCCCGTGTGGTTGAATGACAGGTGAAGAGAGCCGCAACCATCGCGATAGCAGCGACGATAACCGCGGTGTTAACGAACTCGAGGGGTAGTTACCAGTGCTTAGGTGACCGTGCTTGACTGGGATACACTCGTGTCCGGAGGTATCTGTGCGCGTTATCAGTGTAGTGTTGTAATATACCGTGGATACCCGAGGATAGTAGGAACAGGATCGATTCTAAATAAGGACGTTTCGCGGATGTCGGAGCGATAGACACGTCGTGAAGTCGACTCGTGGTCGGTGAGGAACTTCCGGCAACGAGGATTCGTTAGTGATAAAGGAACCCAGCAGTCGACCACGTTGGATCTCGCGGCGTTGGCTGCTTACGGGGGCGTTTCGGGACCCAGGGTCGCGGTGGCGGGCACCGGGGTCCTCGCGCTACCCGGCCTGATATCCGACAAGGGTTTATCATCGCCCGGAGGTCAGTCGAAAACCAAGTCCGCAGGGCTGGCGGGCCTCGACAGCGAGGCGGTGCGCCGGTGGGTCGCCGAGGCAACGCGTACCGTCCGGCAGATTCCGCCTCCGGTTGTCGTGCCATCGAGCTCGCATCATCATCACCAACAGCAGCCACAACAACAACAACAACAACATCAGCAACATAGACAGCAGCATCATCATTCCAGTCAACGACAACGCCAGGAGCCCAGCCCACCCTCGGTGGGGGCCTCCTCTTTCGTTTTGCCGTCGCCGATGACGCAGACCCCCAGCATGCATCTGCTGGAGAACAACAACCTGGTGGAGGTTGCGATGGCCCAGCAGCAGCATCAGTCTCAACAGCAGATGCAGCAGCACAAACAGAAACAGACCAGCCCGACGAACAATAACACGATCGAGGCATGGAGATCCATCCAGGGTGGACACCAATGGTGGAGTCCGCCCAGCAGTGTCCATCAGGAGCAACAGCAAGTGTCGCCCATCGGCCAGCAAAGTCTGGTAGCCGGTTCCGTGTGTGGACAGGTGCAAAGACAGTCGTCGCAGATCCAATCGGAGATCGATCAACCGCTGGACTTTTCGGTCGGTTCTCTTCAGCAGCAGAGGCTGCACTCGCGCGTAAGGACTATCCACGAGAGGCTCCAGAGCAGGATGCACGACAACAACAACGGCACGGGTGTGCAGAAGATCGCACGGGGCGCCGGTAGCAGGAGAAGCTACAGCCCCAGCGAGGGTAGCAGCAGCAGCAGCGAGGACGAAGGAGTCTCCACCGGTGGCAGCCCTTCGGGACCTCTTCGCGGCACCGAGAACGGTGAGTCTCGCATGCAAATTATGTCCTTATCGTCACGGACGCGTTCGTTCGGATTTCTCGCGGAATCGATGGTATTTGCGCAACTAGCGCGGATAATTAGTTAGGATGACGTAGCACGCGGATCGAGGAATTGAAACTAAGTCGCTTCGAGTCTTGGAACTCGGCTTTATTGTTTATTGATGTATGACTTGGATTTGACGATAAGCTGGTTGAAGTTTTTGGAAGAGCGACGCGGATTTCTCGCTCGATGACTCGATGTAGTGCAGAAGGTGATAACGGAACTTGAATAGTATTTCTCGTATTTTCGATGCCTAGTTCGGTTTTTTTTTTTTTTATTTGAAGTGTTCAAAGATGTATTAGGTGGAAAAATTAATTCTGTGTCTTTCTAAAGTGAATGTATCATTTATATGTATAGAAAACTCGTAACTTTTGATCTTCCTTTACTCACGTGTCTCAAGAGAGTATGTAAAAAGAAAATGTCAAAGTTAGCTGTGTTTCATCCGCGAGTAAATGTTTCTATTTAAACTACAGCCATAAATGAGCGAATGTAAAGACATGGAATCAATTCCTACACCTAATAATTTCCAAATACAGTCATAATCTCTTTGAAGAGTGACAATAGGCAACTTGTAATGACCATCAGGTTGGATTACGTACTTAAATCCATTGTAATGGAGATTAGGTTGAGGATTTAGACTTTCTTATGGTATTGAACATTGTCTCGGACAACTACTCTAAATCCATGTAAAATTCTATCCCGCACTTCCGCGACTCCTTTATGTAAACAAGTTGAGCTAGTCAACGACGTCATTATCGGAGAAGCGTTAGAGATATTGCCTTTCCGATACGACGCCAGTCACCTCACTGCCAAAAAAAGTAGCTATTCTGTGAATTTCGAGCGTTAATGTACGCGTTTACGTTCCCCGTCAATAATTTCTTTGGATCCGAACATTGTCCCAGCCAAGGTGAATTACTGTCACGTACTTCCACGACTTCTTCATGTAAACAAGCCAGACAAGTCGACGCTCCATTTTCGGAGAAATGTCAGAGACAACGTCCTTCCAAGAATACATCAATTCGCGATTACGAGAACAAAATACAAAACCTCGATAGAAGTCACTTCCAATGTGGAAAACTGTTTCAAGACTTTCGTACGACAATCTACGTATTAACCGGTACGAATTATAATTTCTGTGAAACAGGACACTGTCTCAGATCACTGCTAGAAATTCACGCGAGCATTTTATGTAAACAAGTTACGGAAAGTCGAAGATTTCATTTTTGGAGCAGTGTACTGTCTTCAGTAACTCAGCAGAAGTCACTCCAATTTAAAAAAACAATAGCTTTTCCAGTGGCAATGCACGCATTAACCTCTAGTAATAATGATAGTTTCTCTGGAGGAGAAAACTGTAACTTAAAGTTACTCCAATATGGAAAATTACTTTTCTATGACTTCAAACCGGAAATTCCTCCACTAACCCGTATCAATAATAATTTCTATGGAACGGAACACTGCTCAAACCCCTAGCAAAAATTCACGCAACCCACTGTTACATATTTCCCCGATTACTTTATGTAAACAAGTCAGAGGAGTCCGGAACTCCATTTTCGGAGCAGCGTCGCACTACTTTCCCAAGAATACATTAACTCGCAGGGGGTTGGAGCGCGCGATTACCAACCTTTTAAACGTTCTCTGTCCGTGTTTCCCGAAAAGTTGGCTCAGTAACGAAACCGGAGATCGAGAAACAAACGAACGTGCGTCATGCCGGTTCGCTAGGAAACACGAAACGATATATCCCGTGCGTTTTTCGGGGGAGAAACGTGGCGAGTGCGTTCGATCCGTCAGCTGTCAATGGCGAGGCCCTCCCTTGGCGCATTCGACACCCCCGCGCAACCTTGCCGTGGCTTTTGTTGTCCCAAAATGGTTGCATTGTGCACTCGTTCCATTGTGCTAAACGCATGTAACCCCGTGATCGCGAGAACGCGGTTATACCTATGTACCTGAAACGAGTCGGATTTTTCGACGTTGCGTTCCGTACGCAAAACGTATGCCAATTGCAGTCACGCGTTTTACGATGGGAAGCCCCGAGTTCCCTTTTAAAAGACGTTCGTTTCGCTACGCCATTCTCGCTGCTCACGATCCGCGTCGCGATAAGGGGATTCCTCGTGGATAAATTCGCGCATCGTTCCGTTTTGCAAACTCGCGCGAAAAACATGTGTACTTGGGAGAATGGGAATTAGCCTAGCATTGACAAAAAAGCGATTTATTGTGATTGTAGAACCGGCAGGTGGTAATCTTCTGAGGGGGGTTATTAATTTTGTGCTCCTGTAATAAACGTGGGGGAATTATGCAGTTTGTTGGAAATAATTAAATGGAATATTTATAGTGGCACAAAAAAGGGGAAGCTCGAGCTCCCTTTGGATTTTAAGCTTTCTCTCTTTTTTATTAAATATTCTGTTTTTAGATTAGAAGATTATTTTATAAGTTGGAGAACAAGTTTATGCAATTTTTGTACGAACCACATGCACAATACAATCTCATGTAATCAAATTTTTTAGGAAAACTGAAGGTTATGGACAAATTTTCAAGCTTACAATAAATTGTACAAATTTATTCTTACCAACCAGGACCGCACAATGTTAAGAAGTCATCAATCTTTGATCAATCTATTCATTATTCTACAAGTTTTTTTTTTAATTTACTGAAAAGAATGTAGGCAAAATAATCGATTTACATTTTTTTGTGTATTTTTCACAAAATAGATTGTCCAGAAATTGTGCTGTCTCATGTAGAATTCGTAAAGTAACACGAACCCCATTTTTCCCCAAAAATTAGTCTTGAAAAATGGTTTCATCGTGTTTTTGTAATCACCATGCTAGTGACAAATTCATTTTCTATCGAATCGGTACGTGTTAGGCTGTTATCGGTAACTGGTCTGATAAGAGGGGTATCCAGTAGAAAGGAATAGCGATTGTGCGTTAATTGAGCGCCGCTCTTCATGATCGCGGCTTATCTAAAAAATCAGTCCCTATCGTATCTGCGTTTCAGTCGATCAAAGTGTGTCAGTAATTTGAGATTTATTAATTGTTCGAGTCATATTCGACAGTGGATTTTCTTAGTGATTTTTAGAGCTTAGTTTTCGGATTAGATTTTTGATAGATAAGACGATGGGGGTCTATAAAACAAATATGGTTGTTACGATCTTATGCGATATTAAATTTCAGACGTAAGAAGTATAGGACATTCGAATAGGAAACCAGTTCTCATAGTTATTCTAGATAAAACATAGATGGATTGCAAAATTCGTATAGTTACTTGAATTATATATAAATATGAGTAAGAAGAGTAGAATTTTGTATTTATACGTTCCTCGGTTTCTTAAAAAAAAATTCAAGAAAACAAGCGCGCGAGTGAAACATTGTAATTTAAAACAAAATTTTCATTTCATCCTATCATCAATATATAACAATTGTTTTTCTGAAGCAATAATATGCCCTACACTCTGTTTGCAACAACCACTTTGCAATTTCTCACTCCAGAGTGGATAAACATGAAAATTTGTGTTAATTACACTTTACCTTTCGACCTATATTCCAGAATTAATATTAAAAATGGTCCTACCGTGGAATTTTCTCCAAAAGGCGAATATAATTCGCGCCAAAGAGGGTTAATAATGTCGCGACGCGTATCAGACGGTTTTAAACAAATTTTTAATTCACCTGGATCATGGCTGGGATGGCGGACACGTGGACAGCCACGCAGTGAACGTATGAAAAGCATGCATTAGTCGAATCCCCGTCAATCCGACGCATCGATGAAGCAACGAGCACGGCACGGCAGGTTGGAAAAACGCGACTGGTGTGATTTCTCCCCGATAAATCGCTGATTATTCCGTAAAAACTAAATATTATTGTATTTATATCTTGTCGATGCGTCGAGTTATCTGTCGTGTTTATTATCGCGGTATATAATGTGTGCTGGGGCGTCGCGAGCCGCGATACCGCGAAAATAAGAATGACCGTAATTAAAACGATACCGCGACGCCATTATCTGATTCTAAACAGCCGGGTCTTTATTAGTTTCAATAAAATGCAATGCAAACAACGCTACGGAATAGCCTGATAAGCTCGTAATGCGCTTCGTGGCAGTGAAAAAAAGTACCAATAATCGCATCGATAAAGTTGTAAGTGAGTGTAAAATAATAATTAATGTTTCGATTCGTTTGATAGCTTCGAAACGAACATTATCACGTTTCGACTCGCGACTTTCGAGTTATCTTCAAGATTTGTAGGGATTATAATTAAGTTTTATGCATTTTACGTGCGTGATATGTTTTACTATTGTCTTTAAACGATGGATAGATTGAAACCAATGTTAGTTTTTGTATACTTCGACATTATTAATCGAAATATTTGTGATTGAAATTCTCGATTTGTACAAAAATTTGGCATTTTATTGAGACTTTTGCACGAGAAAATACCTTCATGAAAGGAAATTTTTATACAAATTGAGAGTCCTTTCAATACTTTTTTTGTCTAAAAAATGCATTCCATTCATTTTAATTATTTGCATAGCGAGGTGGAATGCCAAAGTAAATTGCGCATATGGAATGCATAAATAAATATTGAGCCTTATTTGCTTACACGATAGTTTTTATTTGAATAACTGTGTCAACATTATTCTTATATTAAGATAGCCTCACCCATATTTTCCGAGTTTTCTCTAGTATCATTGCTCTACCGCTACACCAACATATTTTTCAAATTCCAAGACGCTCTCGTATAGATGAAAACGTTTCGTAAGTAAGTGTGCTTCAGAGTATATTTTCATTATAATATAACTATTGAAATCTCTACTCCGTAGTCCACCAATGTAAACACGAAGCAATTGGATTAAATCTCTCGAAAAGTATCCCTGACTTGCACATAATATTCAATACCTATAATATACTTGTCGTTTTCTTTTTGCTAATAGTCATCGTTGCGAGGCAAATTCTTCA